ACCCTCCTTGCCCATGTTTCAGTTAGCAAGTAAGTCGAGCTGTGGACAAGCATGCAGGAGGCAAAGAAAGGCACCGCGGGGACATCAATATCCCGCAATGACTGTGGCAGGAAACTCTCCCCCCCACTGAAAACACTCACTCCCAGCCCAGGGATGTACCTGCTACGCAGGAGGAGCAGGATGGGCCCAGGTCCCCAGCGGTGATAAACATCATCCACTGATTAAATGCGCAGAAGGCATAGTGCAGAAGCTATTAAATCATTTCTCCCTCCTGAGGCATTTCTGCTTGTCTCTTCCTCGTTTAATGATATTATGGATAGGGGGAGGTCTAATACGCTGCATGGGTCTGACCGTCACCTCACGTGAACTGGGAGACGCATACTGAAGGCAAACGGGAGCAGAACACACACTGCAAGACTCCCTGAGGATGGATGCACCATGCCACTTCCCTCTCCCCCTCTAATATTTTGTTCTCCCCATTTTAATAAAGCGAATACAGCACAGATAAAATTCCCTTGGCACTTTTGGTTTACTATTCCCTTTCTTGAGCACAAGTAGTTTCGATCCTTGCTCAGAAAGGATGGGCTGAACACACCATTACTCAGCTGATTTACAACCGAACTGAGAAATGCCCTGGGGAAGACAGCAAGAGGAATGCCTCTGGTTAGGCACTGACAAGCAGACCATGTAAGAAGAGAGATACGAAGCCAGTTCAGACAGCTACGCAGAGAAGAAGAGCCATGCAGATTGCTGCAAAATAACACTGGAAGATCTGTATGAGTTTTTGGTCATCTCACAGCAGCTGCTCCCTTGGTCCGTGCAGACAGGGTAGCTCAGTATTCTAACTCACTGCCCTATAAAAACACTTCAAGATCTAGTGCGAAGACAATTATATAAAACTTAATTCTGCACCAAGAGGGATTACAGAAGCATTTTATAAGAAGTCACATAGTAAAAGGCAATTGCACGAGCCAACAAGCAGCTCAATTAAAATGACATCTTGCTAAGCTGCTCTGTGCGAGTCAGCCTTTGAATGAAGGCTCACACCGCGGGTCCGCTGTAGTGGGCTGCGCTCCTTTCGGTATCCAAGCAACACTGCAAAGCCTGCCAGCACACAAATTACAAGCAGTACCTTATTTCCAGAGACAGGGAAGGGAACCAGAGGTTAACACACACGCGCAGGGATGCTCAGCTCAGGTATATGTGAAGGGATTGGTTTGACACTCAGGAGACAGTAAGCGCATCTCTTATCTGGTAACCGCCTGACCTTGGAAAGCAAGTCGCAGCTGCTGGCCTGTGTCCTCATCCAGAGGGCGATGCTGAAGATCAAAATCTCACGGCTGAGAAAAATCAACAAACTTCCCCACATGCTGTTACAAAGATGCCTCCCAAAAACCCACATGGTGCACATGCAGCACAGCACCACAAGGTTCTGCAGGCTTCGTACCGGCCACTTTCAAGGCACACATATTCAGACGGTCCATCCACTCAAGCAAAATACTTCCATTTTGTATTGCATGGGTCTTTTAAACTTTAACGCATCTGTTACTGGACCATCACCCCAGCAGACAGCCCCTGTTCTCACACAGGAGACTTCCATGACAGTAAGTAGAAGCATAGGAAGACAGGCCTGTCCCATACCGTCCCCTGCCCAAGCTTTCTCACAAGGTAATCTCAATTAAAAAAGGTTTCCATAAACATTTTTTTAAAGTAGCATCTAGACACAGAAAGATTCATCCAAATCTTAGAAGTCCAAAGAAACTTCAGATGACAACAAATAGTATACAACAGAGCTTTCAACTATTTTGCTTCCCCCACCTCTTAAAAAGAAAAAACTGAACAAAAGTCAGCTTTGAGGCAAGCAGAAAAAAAAATTCTTTCCAAATGAAAATAAAATGGTCAAAACTTTCAGATCAGCAAGAATACTTTCAGGTTATCTTGGTCATCTGTATGCCACTAATCACCCTCTGCTTGTGTGGTATGTGGAATAATTGGTTTAGTGCTAGAAACACAGCACTAGAAACCACACTGGAGCTTATCAGCACTGCAGAGCAGCATCAACTCCACCTGGGGATTATTTCCCCCACCCCTTTGGGCCCCAGATAGTTTGGGACACAACCCTGACACAAGGGCAAGCACAACAGATCCACTGACATCATTTCTGTTTCTGGGAGGCCATCGGTTTGAGTCTCTTGCTGACATCAAGCCCCCATGACCCCCATCCCTCTAGCTGCACACAGACCCTGCCAGCATTTGCAGGGGAAGCCCCATCAGCCAGAACCACCTTTCAGACTTGGACCTGAAGCCTATCCCTGGCGCACGGGGAGCTGAGCACAGCCACGAGCAGCACCCGGTGCCCACCACAGACCTCCTAGCACAGCGGGGACTGCATCCAGCATCGAGTCTCTCACACCACACATGACACTTGCTCAGCCCATGTCCCCTTGCCACCCCGCAGTAGCCACCCCCTCTCATGAGCCAGCATCGGGCACTAGCTGCTAGCCTCTGCCAGCTCCTTCTCCCACGAGAGGGGGCAGCAGCAGCAAGCAAAACACCGCAGAGACATGCCAGAAGCTGGTTTGCTTTGGGTTGGGTTTTTGTTTTGTTTTAAATCAAATTTGGTCAGTTGTGGTAAGACGTATCCAGCATACAATTATTCCTGTAACCCTGCCTTGCCCTCCTCTAGCATTTTAGGACGATGCAGGCTAATTTATCAGTAACAGCACAAAAGGATCAAGAAACAAGTCAGTCTCTAAATGAAAATATTCTTATGGGTTTTTTCTGAGACTGAATAGGAAGCAAGCATTACATTAAGGTAAAGCTTAAATGTTTAACTATAATACACATTTCTGCACAAAGCACAGCTGTGGGCTGAGAGACAAAATCTAACATAACTTTGCCATGTAAACATTAGACAAACATAGGACAGAACCTGTGTTCCTCAGGTGTTACCAAGCTCCAACAATAACTGGCAGAGAAACACTAACAAAGAAAACTGGGATTGTGTAAGACAGATAATTATCGGGGCACTTTGGGTCAGATCCTGACATTATGCAGATTACCAAGGCGTGAGGCAAAGTCAGCACGGCCAGAGCACGACACTTGTGAACTGGGCACGTGGCATCCAAGCTCCTACCAACAAGCCTAAGCAATTCAGCAACTTGTTGATCAATACCACAGCAGTTCCCCGAGCTGCTGGCACTCACCTTTGGCTGTGACCATCTCAAACACCATGCGGGAAGGGTAATATATTAAATGGTGCTGCAGTGGAAAAAGCCACAGGCATGTGAAAGGATACATCCCCAGGATAACTGCTTCAAGGCATTTGATAGGTAAGGACTCCCTAGTCATTTCTTTTGCTGTCTCCATTAACCTAGGAGAGAAACAAAAAGGTTTTCAGTCCTTTCAGTTGGAGCAGTTGACAGGAATCACAGGGTCCTCTCGTACACCGAGAGACAGGTGCCTCCGGTTCTTATCTCAGCAAGCACTGGTGAACTTGATTCTCCTCTTCAGTGATTTGCCAGAGCCCTGTTGACTTCTGGAGGACGACTCGGGGGTGGGGGGGAAGTGTTTGGCATCTCAGTGCCTTCCAGCCTCTGAAGATGGGTTGGAGGAATGCAGTCCTCTGCCCCTCCAGCAACTCCATGAGCATCACTTCAGACTGTTAACGCAAAGCCCTGCTAAGCTGCAAAAGCTGGCAATCATGCAAGCTCCCACAGCAGGACCAAGTTTAGCTTATTTTCAAAATAACCCTGGCTCTCCTCTGGAAAATAAAAGGGAAGAGAGGATGGTTACATGATGGCCCCCTGAAAGCTACAAATGCCTCCATGAGCCTATAGCTATCGGTGCAGACAAGAATCTAATGCCTTTTTTCCAAAGTCTGCTCTGCAGAAAGCTCTACCAACACAGACACTTCACATCACTGCAAGCTGAGCTATCATCCTGCTGCTGCTCCCTACCCCGTGTGGACTGGGAAAGTGGTAAAAAACAGATTTCCTGCCAGAGTGCAGCAAACTGCATGCCCAGGATCTTGCAAGTTCACAAAGTTTAGTTACAATATGGACTCTTATCTTTGGAGTAGAGTTACCTGACAGGGACAACACAGTGATGAAAAACAAGTAACTTAATCTCAGCTCCGCTGAGAAAGCTGTCGTGCCAGACTGACACCACACCATCAACCAACTAGGTAGCCTATCCCCTCCTACAAGCAGATCCTGAAATCCTGAAGAGTTAAAAAAAAAAATACAGGAAGAATATTTAAAAAGGCCAGAAGAGTCATATTCAATGACACACTGAAAAAAAAAAAAAGCTAAAAACCAAACCAAAGGATGACTTCTATTTTGAAGTCTTCTCTATCTGTATCCTTTCCCTAAGAGCTTTGTAAACAGATCCCTACTCTAAGGAAACACAACATTAAATGATAAAAATATTTGTATTAGATAAGATAATGAAAATATGCATCTGAAACCATTAGAGTTTGTTCCTCCCACTTTCTAATTCACCAATCTCATGCACTTTAAACCTTGTATTGACTGCAAATGGCAATACAGCTTCCACTGCTATTACAGCCTGTCACAGCTATTCCATGTCCCATTTATCCAAGTTAGAAATTATCTTTTCATTTGTAAACAACTGCCCTTTACACTCTGCCTGCAGTACAGAAGACAAATTAGAGTTAGCCTGCCTCCTACGTGCTCACAATCGGCCACAGAAACCCCACTGCTGGAAGCAGGGAGCAGCTCCAGCAAGGGCACACAATGGGGCCCCTTCATCCCCCACAGCGGCTCCTCAGTGCTGGTTGCAGCAGTAGCCACTGCAAAGCCCCGTCTCCATCCGGCAAAGTACTACATGCCGACGATGCATGGGAGGTACCCACGAACAGGACAATCCACTGAATTTCCCATCTTCTAACTCCATGGGAGGGTGGGGGGAAAAAAAAAAAGTCACAGCTGATTAAGAATGTTTAACAGAGGCAAGAAAAAGCTCAAGTTGTAAAGCTATTTAGCTTCAAGCCATTTAGTGTGGTGTATGCCTGGTTAACATGGTCCAAGGGACAGGGCCAGCATCTCCTCCTCAGGTCCACACCTACACTGACCCCGCTGCCAGCAGGCAAACACAGTAACTGCACTGGAGCTGCATCGTCACCACATGCAGCATCAGGTCTCCTAACACCTACTTTTATAAGCTCACTGCTGTCATGATTTCAAGGTATTGTCAGCATGGAGATAACATTAATGACTCCACAGCCAGGGAGGGAGTCTTCAAAGTAATTGGCCTAAATGAGCAGTCAAATTACTACCAACTTATCTGTCACAGCAACACTCACACTATTTAAATACTAAGTTGTATTTAACATGCACTTTGTTTGCAAGCCACATATGTGCTGGTTCTGAAGCACAGCTCTCCAGGATGCTATATGGTTATTAAGACAGATTTAAATCTAACAGAAGAGGCATTTTACTTGCTTAAAAACACGCTGCCTGCTAGTGCATGGGTACCTCGGCTGCCCCTTCCAAGGCTAGCGGCAGCCCTCCCTTCCTTGACATAGCATCATCAGATAGTTGGGCTCAGAAGGGACCCCAGGAATCCCTCCTGTCCCACCCCTTGCTCAGAGCACCTGGGTCCAGGAGCTGCAGCAGGTGCTCAGTGGCCGCCCAGTACCTGGCGGTTCAGACGGCCGTGGCCTCTGGACCGTGACAGTGATGAGGATCAGTGCAAGGGCAGCATCAGTCAAGAAGCATCACTGATGATCAGCAAACAGGCGTCCATCTGCACCCACGGGGCAGGTCATGCCCTTGTGTACACCCATCCCGGAGTCCTGGGGAATACTCCGCAAACAGTTTGCTTTGATTCCTCTGCGTTTGCAACACAGACCACAGGGTTTATGCAGATGACCCAGTTCAATAACCACTGAGAGAGTCTTTCTTCTGCTCTTAACAAGCTTGAGATGAAGCATGGCCTTAAACCCTGTATTTGCATTGGAAGCAAAGCCTTCAAAGAATCCCCAAGCCACCACTATGCCCAAGGTAGCATAAGCCAAATCTAAATCACTCCTCACAGATAATTTTCTAACCTACTTTTAACTGGGTTCTCAAAGGCTTGGGAAGCCAACAGTTAATCTATCCTATACTTAACCTTGCATCTAAGAAGGTCCTCTAATGTTTAAACTAAATCTTTCCTTTTTTGCAATTTAAATCGGAAGCTATTTCTGCTATCCACAGTGGGTATAGAGACCATTTATTATCTCTTCTCTTGCAACTGACATTTGTATACACGACAGGCTGTAATCTACCCTCTCCTCTGTAAACATAAGAAAGCAGATATATTTTTTTGCCTTTTCTTTTCCATCCCCCCCTTTCTCTCACCCCAAATCTTCCCTTAGGTCATGTTTTCTAGACATTGGGCAATCTTTGTTGTTCTCCTTTTGGATTCTCCTCAACTGACTCGCATCTCATGGTCCTTCAGCTCAGCCCACCACACCAATACAAACAGACCAATTTCCTTCTGAATCCAACTTTCAGTATATTTTTGCTACCAACCCAGTGGTTTTTTTAAGATCAGCTCCATCTGTGCAAAACTAGCCTTTCGTTCTCCATTGTGTATTCCCACAGCTGTCTATTCCCAAATCCCTTCTCTGTATTTGCCCTTCCTCATATCTCTCCTGTTTGTTCCAGCCCAGCGCTCTCTTACCCTTCGAGATCACTCTGAATCCCAATTCCACTTTGCAAAGCCTTGTCACCTTGTCCAGCCTAGACCACAAGGCACATCTATTAGCAAACAATTAGTCTTATCCATACCATTAATGAAAAATAACATTGACCTGGGACAGAGATTGCATACCTCGACTGACAAACTCTGCTAGGCAAGAGCAAGCTATTGGTTAAGTACCACTTTCTAGGTGCTGCTTTTCACCAGGTTGGGCCTTGTCAAATCAGTTTCGTTTAGACTTGAGGTCCCTCCCTTATCGGAGGCTGCCAAAAGCCATACTAAAGCAAAGAATTATCACAACCACAACTTCTCCCTGATTGACAAAAGCTCTTACACTCTCATAGAAGGAAATTATCAGAACCAAACCATGCCAAACTAAATTCATGTTGCCTATCACTTACCACCGTGTTATGTTCCAGACACTTGATTATTTGCCCTAGCATTTTTCCTGAAACTGCAGATAAACTCAAATAGTTCCTAGACTTACCTTTTCCCTTATTTTTTTTAAAGGCTGGTATCTTTGCCTTCCCCAGTTTCCAACAGGAGTATCCATCCTCCCCACACCCTCTAACCGAAGTATTAATGTCGTGGAGGTTGTTTGTCAGTTCTCTAAGAAAGCATCCAGCTCATTTGAAAACAACTAATTATGAGTGCTCTTTGACTTGTCCTTTCCCTATTTTCTTTCACTCCTGAATTCTTACCACGCTGTCTCAGATGTTAATCGTGACCAGAAAGGCTGCACCATTAAACTTGTGAAGGAATATTTAAGGAAGGAGGGAAAGAATTAAAAAACAGCATCAAGCATTTAAATTCCCTACCTGAGCAGGGTTTGTTTCCGGGATTTTCTTTAAATCTTTCCAGTTATCTGAACAGACTCCACATATGTGATACTCTAACGCAGTACTTTTCCATCTCGTATCACAGTTAGCTGAGAACTAGCTCAAAGCCACCTTCTCCACAGAGCCCAGTGAGCATGGGGGCAGCCCATCTCTTCCAGCAACTTGGGGAAGACTGCTGCAGTCAAAAATAAGCATCATGCAGCTTCCCTCTTCGTGGCATTTACACCACTGTCTAAAAGTCTGCCAGGCAGATCTCTATTCCAGACCACAGTGAACATTCCTGCCTCTAACAAACAGGCTGCACGTTCCTCCCTCAAGGTCTAGTCCTCAGCAGATGATATTTCCTTGTAAATTGACTCGAGGTTTTTCTTCAATGTTTTCAGAAGCCCACCTGGATTATCTCCCTTGCTTTCTGCACTAAGAGAAGGCCCATAGAGGAGATAGTTTTGCATCTTTTGGATGCTTTCTGTTTAAAATGGCAGTGACTGCAGTCATCTCAGAGGAGCCATGAATTCCTTTTGCTCCCAGGTTTTTCACTAGGGGATCCAATCTCATAAACAGGTTAGAAAAAGCTTCAAACATTTCAGCATGCCCAAAATTGGAGGATCTCACCAGCTGGCTCCCCATCACACTAGAGGCACTTCAGAGATGACCATCCTTAGGAGGAGAGGTTACCCATTACCTTCACCAGAAAGACTCCTACAGACTTCAGTAAACTTTGAATTAGTGAGATCCTCCAGCACATTTTCCACTAAGTTCTCCTTCCCTAGGCCTCAGTACTTGCATGAGGTCCATAAAATCTCCCTCTCCCAAGTTTTTCTAAGGCTCCTGACTGTTTTATTCTTCCCAATGAAGCAAAGAGAAGTGAAAGGCACCAACAGGAGTAAAAGGAGGTAAAACAGCGGAGCAGCTACTGCTCTCGTGAATCTTCTCAAAACCAGTTTGTTTCAATGGTAAAAGCAGTTCTACCACATGCTGAACATAGTACCGTATCTGTAACGTTCTCTCTTTGTGCCAGAGAGAAGCAGATGTTCAAATGCCTTCTGCAGTCTATTGTCTGGAAATGGTATGAGCCCATTTTTCTTTACAGCCCCATCAGGGTTCCTTAATAACATGGTGTGTTGAAACAGTATTATTTTCCGCCCCCCCTTCCCTCACTGTTATTTGGTTATATCGCTCCCACATGACTGCTTCTACCACGCTTTTATTGCAATTGATTACCCATTATATCTGCAGTCACTGAATGTCTCTCCATCTTCACAGAGCAGCTTCTGAGCTGTAATTTCTCAAAGTCCCCAGAACCTACCCAAACATCACTTTTTGCTTCAGTTGTAGGTCCCACTGATCAGCTGGCACCTAACTGGAGGGAACAGCACAATACCGCACCTATCTACCACCTCCCCAGATACACTGTGGAGGACAAAGATATTCGTTCCTTATTGTGGCTCATGCCTGCATCCTAGAACAGAAGCTTGCAGAGGGCTTATTGCTCCTTGCAAAGCTAGTAATAAAAGTTTGTTGGCATTGAATGCAGTTACAGATATTACTACATATCTAGATACATGCTTTTTTTTTTCTAAAGCTCTTGCTTGATCTAGGCTTGGGAGTTTTAAAGAATGACTATTTCAATTAACAGTGCCATTTTTTAATCAGAATGGTTGTGCCAACAAAAGCTGTAATGTAGGTTTTGCCAGCATAATCCTGTACGGGAAAAGGAAAATCAGCTCAACTGCTGTCTGAAATACTTGTATTGCATGCATACACAGATCACACATACCATGGATCAGTAAAGCTGAATTCCATGGGGTGCCCTTTACCTGCCTAGTATGAAAGGGTACATCACAAAGCCTATGTAAAGGACACCACCCCAGGTCAGGATACCTTGTATACTCTATTAGCAAAGCACTCTTACACTGGATGTAGCTACACCTGTAAATCTGGGTTTTGTGTGAATACAGCAAACTCGGGTTAGATAAGATGCATTTTCAGACACAGTTTGCTAGTACAACAGGAACACCACACACAGTTTGCAGGATCACATCTCTACCACCCCGACTCACACAGCTACGCCAACAGAAATCTAACGTTTTCAAAAGCGTTATCTGTAGTCTAGACAAATCCACAGGGTGTCTGGCAGTCTAGAAGCAAGTTGATAGCTAACAGTGACTTTTTCTTAAGAGAGATTGTAAATACTGAACTATAGCAAGCCTGTATCCCTTAACATTATGAGTTCCTATAGATAATTTATACTCTTCTTCCTAAACACAGCCAGGCATTTTTATTTTCTCATGCATCACACCAATGCTGACAGTAAACCTCTATAATATCTAGTCCTCCCTCCATAATAGAAAAACTCATTAATATGCCCTAGCCGCTTTAGGACACTTTCACATGAATTTATGAATATTCAATTTCCATCTAGCACTCAGCTTCTTTGTGTCTGGCCACTGCTCTCTTGAAGAGAGGCTGCCAACAATCTCATAATACTTCCATTAGCTTTGAGCCCTCATATTATGAAATAAGCAATATGTTTAATATCAATAAATCACAGCTCTGGGAACAGCCTCAACTTCCAAGAGCCGGTGGCAATTAGAGGTGCTCAGCATCTTGCCCGATAAACTTGCAAATACAAACTTTGTCTTGCAGCAAGTGAGGCCTTTCACACCACGGAAACTTGCTCAGAGCAGCGCTTGTCGCCTCAGCACAAGACGCCTGTTGTCGCCATGCTGGAAGCAGATTTCTTGCGAAGTGGAACACAGCTCCCAGGAAAAAACTTGCAGGTGTGGGCGATTTTTCAGCTCTGATGAAAACTGGCCTGGCCATAGGAGAAAAAAATCACCAAGGACAACTGCAAGAGAAGATATCCTCAGCTGGTATGAATAGCCATGCACCCCAGATGAAGGAAAGGAAAGCCTCTAGGGACACCTCAACATTACGGGGCGATCCACGTGTTATTCCCCTTCTGAAAGTTGGGGAAACCAAGACAGGGCAAGTGCTCAAGCCCTGCTGCAGTACAATGGGATCTGAGCAACTAAGTGTGCTCCTAACAGCTCCACTACTCCTAGCACTCCCATCCATCAGGTCAAGGAGCAAAGCAGCACAGGTCTCAGGACTTAACGCTGTACAAGTCCAGCATACAGCAGGTGCAGGCAACTGTGCCTGGCAAGCTGGCAGCAGCTGCCCGGAGGGGTTCGACCATTTCCAGGGGCACTCTCCTTAACTCTGCAGAAGTCCTGCCACCACATACCAAGTTACTCACAGAAGTCCTAACAGCAACAGAACAAGGAGAAAAGTCTGACACAAGTCCCCAAGCAAACACTAAGGCAGGTAAATAGAGGAAATGGCACCACTTATGAGAGGATTCAAAGCCACGGGTGCATCTCCAGCTGCGAGCACTATATTGGCTCCCTTCCAGGAAAGGGTACCGTCCTCGTAAGCCAGGCTTTCACCCAGCCCAGGAGGACACCAACCTTTCAAGTGGCAAGTGCTGAGCACAATTCATTTTCATCCTCCACTTCCTTGGAAAAAAGTAATGGGACAAATTTAAAAATGAGTGACCCAACACCAACAAGTGAAAACTGCAAGTCTTCCCCACCCTGTGCATTCAGCTTTGGCCTGCAGCTATGCAGCTCCCACGCGGCTGCTGAGCAAGACCAGCCCTTCCCCTCATTGGCTCTCAATGGGTCTATTTGCCACCTCGCAGCAAGCTGGGACCCTCCTTGCAAAGGCCGCAACATACACAGTTTTGGCCCTGCCAGAGGAGCTGTGGCACGGAGGAGACAGCCCTCCCATGCCATGGTGCTACAGTGCTTAAATGCCTTAAGTGATCAGCTGGCATGATGTGGGACAAGGGCACTAGACCAGTTCCAGAGACACTTACCCACTTAGAGGTCTGGCTTTTCTGATCTCGAAGAACTGTGTTCCCGTGTGATTGTATCTGAATTATGTCTGTTAAAGGAAAGTAACTTAACAGTCAAATAATAAAATAACAATGCTCAAGAGGTGAATTTCAGTTCTGATTTCCTGTTGAAACATAACACAAAAAGCCATTGACTCACAACAGAGATGAAATCCTGGCATGTGAAATAAAGCAATTTTTTCACTTATCTTTTTATATGACATATTAACCGGCATTACGTGGAGAGTCAAGCAAAAAGGTTGTTTGTCTAAAACGACACTTAAATTTGACATTTGAGGGTCATGAATTCACTTTTCCTCTAGGTTCCACTCACTAGTAGGTTAAAAGTTTGGAAAAGAGTCTCCCATTTGGGCAAGAGAAAGCTTTTATAGTCTAGCCAAACCAATCAACATCATTCATGGTTTGAAAGAACTTACTTCCTTTGTAAGTTTTGAACTCAGTCAGCCACATAGCTCATATATGACCTGTAAACCAAAAGCATGGCAGATGCGTCCATTTACATCCAGGAAATATAAATCATTCTCTAAAAAAATACAGTGCACTTGAAATGGAAATAACCAGCTAAGTGCAACTCAAGAACATTAGTTAATACTATGAGCATAGGAGAAAAGTTCATCACAAAGGATGCCAGCAGACAGTCACCCATCAACCAAAACTCAGCATCACTTGCCTAGGAGTGCAAGCTACCATGCAGCAGCAGCAGCATCAAAAGCAGCCTCCTCCCTGCTCCTTGAGCACAGCTGTTCAAGCAGTAATGCAGTAAATCAGAGCAGGAAACTGATCTGTCCAGTAAAACCAAGAAAACCCCAACAACAACAACGTCACACCATCCACTTACTTTTGCTACGTTTTTTTTCCAGTTGAATCTGTTCCCCAGCCTAGTTCCCAACATGGCCACGAGAACATTCACGCCAACAAAACTGTGGTGGTGATACCAGGGCAGAAACAGTTGACCCCATGGAGGCAGAGAGTACCTTGTGAGGCATAAATAGCACAGCTGCTAGCTGTATAACCACGGTCTAAATAAAAACTCCAGCTCGCACCAGGATGCTCCGAACTGACTTCAATTAGAGTTCAGAGTTCTCCAGAAACAAGGCTTCGCTTCCCTCCTGCCTTCAAAACCTAATTCATGAGGCCCTTTCAGAGTGCTCTGAACAAAGCATGCAGCCACTTTTAGCCCACAAAGGAAGCCCAGACCCTGTTCCCCAGCTCACACTGAAGCTTTTCTGAACACAGATCCAAACCCTGTGCCTAAGGTCTGCTCCTGCTAGGTAGCAGAGTACAGGATTTCAAGACCACTGGGGCGGAAAAAAAGAAAGAATATAATTTTTGGAGCTCTGTGTGACACGGTCTCCTTTCCAGCACAACCCCACTAAGCAGCGACCCTCTCGTTCTGCCCAAGTGGCCGACATGCAGAAGAGAAATATGCCATCCCCCCACAGAGCAGGCAGGCCCCAGCCTCCCTCCCCAAGGCAGCTGCTGCGGCTCCAACCCCTGCTGCCACCTTGATCCCAGCCGCTGGTCCCCAGCAGGCTAACCACGCCTGCTATTTTTGGATGCTCTTCCAGCTGCCATCCATATCCTTTCTTAATCCTTACCAGGACTTTACATTCATTCCTCATCCCCACTGCTTCCCCACACACACACGCATGTACACACACAAAAAGCAAGAGTTTAGAAAAAAGGAAAACAGAGAGAAGAGCAGCATCTGGACCAGCAACCGTCTCCTCCGACATTATCTGTCAGCAATGGAAACGGTCAGGTATTAGGTGTGGGGCAGTGACAGGGAGGCTGGATAGATGCGTACATCTCATGAGCCCCCTAAGCAAGGCGAGACATCTGGAAGGGGAGATTCCTTTGGTCAGTTCCTGTGCCACAGGCAAGCCTGCCCACCTTGGAGTCAGGACAGCTGCTTGTGCCCCCCACCCCAATGACAAGCACCCCTGCAAGCTGAGCACGTAGGCAGTCCTCAGAGAGCCTGCAGGGGCTGCCAGGGCAGAGGGAGAAAGGGTTTGCCACAACACCAGCTCTCCCTTAGCCGCTTTACAACGAGATGCCATATTATTTCTCCAGGCATCACAATCTGATCATAATATCCTCATAAACCAACTTCAAACTAAGCATTTCTACTCCCACCGTCACTTCAGTTAAATTCTTCAGTATCATTTAAAGTTAATTACATCTTCCAGAGGATTGCTGTGACAAGCTCAGTGCTGCAGGTGCTATCACAAATCCTTAGAGGCATCCTTTCACCCCTGAATGATCCCAAGTCCTCACAACCAGCTAGCGCTTCGGTAAACCCCTGTTAACTCATGCCAGGCACAAGCCAGCCTTCTCTCTGGAGACCACACACTGGAGAAGGATACTGCAGCATCTTCATGTAGGTCTGTATTGCCTGGAGCCATTCTGGGATCGACATGGAGAGCTTGTAGTTTGGCACTGGCGGCACTGAGGGCTGGACACACAAAAGAAAAGATAAAGAGGTTAGACAGTTACCGCTCCCTGCGGAGCAGATAAGTGATTTACTTGGGCAGTGGCATGCGCTTAGTACAACGCAACACGGCAGCACAGATGGCTTGAATCCCACATGAACTCAAGCATCAGGCAAAGTCATCCCGCTGACAACAGGGGCTACCCGTGCACCAGAGCCAGCCCCATCTCTGCTGGCGTGGAGAGGCCAGGGCAGGCCCCCGGCACAGCAGGCTGCTCGTCCCAGCCACCAGTGTCCCTCAGACATCACCCTATGTGGACAGGCAGCCCAGCACAGAAGGCAAACACTTTCTATTTTCTCCTTCTAGCACAGGGCAGTTTGGATGAGCAGAGCCCCAGCGCTGGCTCTGCTGTCCTCCCTCCCACGAGAAGCCATTTCAAGTCTAATTTTTGGTTTCCTCTACCATGAGAGAAAGATAAAAGGAGACAAGGATCCCAGGCTGCATGATTTCCCATCTGCCGCGTGTCAGCGGCACACTTGCTGGACAGGGAGCGCATGGTACCTAGAAGACCACCTGGGACCCAGATATTTAATGATATTAAGACACTTAAAGATATAGACTGGCACCGTAATGGGATTTTTCCAAAATCCCATAAGACATCTGCTTGTGCCTAAGCACTTTAAGAAGCCGGGCCCTCAATCCATATTTAATCCCCACAGCTACGTGGCTCCTGAGCCTGAAACCATGCAGGAAAGGGGCAGGGCCTTGTCCCAAGTCCCCTTATTTTAGGGGCGAGACTGCAAAATACGGGGCAGCAGATGTGAAAGCGGGCAGAGTGGCTAAAAGAAGTTAGTACAATCCTCACAAATGTAGTGGAGGAAACAGTTGTTTTAAATATTAATGCAGACCCAAATTCAGGAACCAACAACTTGGGCAGCTGCGACGCCAGGCGCAAAGGAAAGCGTGTGGCATCCGTGGGCTCGTGACATCGCTACAATAGTTTGAAGATCATGAAGTGAGATATCACTGTTCTAAATACACTTCAAGTCAGGGATTATAGATAAGAAAAGCAAGTTCAGGCAGTACAGGGCCATTTCTGCCCCACAGACTTTCCTCTCCAGTTCCCACCTCCACTAAGATGGAGGGATTGTGTGTTTGCTTTCAGAGAGCAAGCACCGATAATCCCAAGACAACCAAAACGCAACATTTACTACATGTAGCTAGTTACTACCGTCAAATAGTAAATACATCTCGGAGAAGGGAAAAAACCCAAAAATAGAGACTCCTACATTACTGGCACACAGAAACGTATTTTAAGCAGCAAGGAGACAGATGGCCAGGCCTGCAGCATGCTGCCGCCATCCCCAGCACCACATGGGAGACAACCACACACACAGAGGTTTCTTCTCCATAAGAGTGGGAGTTACAAGCAAGGTTCTTAATCACAATCACAAACGCTTCTTAATCACAATTTCCACGCCTAACCTCTTCATTAGAGGCAATTTTTCGGTTTCACAAGTTCCTTCCGCCCCCGGCCCCTTTGGTCTGGACGAATTATTCACTTGTCCCTCTCGGCACTAAGGCAGGCCTGGACTCAAGGCACCAGACAGGGCTTGAGTTTCAGAAGCAGCAAGTGGCTGAAAGAGGGAATTAAGGCAGGCCTGTCAGATCCTTCCAGGGGCAGTCATTCCTGGTCCGATATAAATACTTCTCTTCAAAGACAAAAAACTTCAGGTGCACACATTGCACAGATACGACACAACATGCCACAGCAATGCGAGTCCCAGCCAGGAAGATGCCTGGCTGCTGCAGAGCACCCCTTTCCCAGCTCTCCATAAAATGGAGGCCCCTGCCCAGCTGTGGGACAGGACAGCACCCCATAGGGACCACACCAGTGCGGAGGGACACAGCCCTTGCTGTAACCTGCAGCAGCCACCCTTGCCATGGGTGTCGGGTTTGGACCTTCAGGCGAGGTGCTTCCCCACCTTCAAGGTGAAGGATGATCATGTCAGCCACTGGGGCACACTCGGGTAAAGAGAACCATGGTTTTCCCAACGCCTGATGAGTATCCCATCACCTGCCTGTTAAAGTCACCTCGGCAGGCCTGCCAAGCCAGGAGGCACAAGTCCCTCTGGATCTCAGGCAAGGAGGGAGAAGTGGCCATCGGTCTTCCCCCACACAGGACAGCGCACTGCTCTCCTCTTTCCAGTGCCGGGTGGGCAGTACACAGCACCATGCCACCAGCCAGGCCAGTTGGCAGTGGACCAGCACCCACCGCTCCCACTCCCTCCAAACAAACCCCATTTTTTCCCCCCCGAATTCCTGCCCCAGCTGCAGGAGCACCGATCCCGGGCATCCAGCCAGCACAGAGCAGAGGCCAGGGCTGCACGATACCACAAGTAAAGGAAAGCACGACATTGTTGTGGTTGAGGCTGCAGCCCTCCAGCCACCTGTGCGCGTCCCAGCGCAGCAGCCAGGAGGTGGCAAGGGTTTGTAGCAGGAGGCCAGAGCCGCCGAAAGGAAATGCAGACACAGCACAACAGACCATGAATTTATAAAGCAAGTGAAATTCAGAAACCAGGCAGATGAAAGGGCCTTCATCCAGTATCAGTATTTCCAAACAGTGGCAGCTCCAGAGACAGCAGAGCTGCTGCAGTGCAAGAGGTTGTGGCAGAGCAGACCATCATCCTGTGGCTGGAAATGCTGTAGTCTCAGCTCACCGCAGACATCCTGCATGAAACTCATCTTGCCTGACTCCACTGTGTCTCATTTAATGACCAGAAAGTCATCTTCTGCTAGCTCGCCCTGCAAGCACGCTGTTACTTCGCACAGATGAAGCTGGCAGGCTGGAGCCCTCAAAGCTGGTGAGAGGTTTAATTCACGAAGATCTACAAGTATCTCCAAGATCACAGGCCACGTAAAGGATTGCACAGCCCTTCCAAACCAGGAGCCCGCACCCCTCCCAGAGCTCAAGCCAAGTCAGAGGTGGGGGATGCAACCAGGGGACCCCTCAGGTTCCAAAACAGCCCCCCTTGCAGACAAGCCAGCTTTTCGTGAGGACTCTTCCTTCCAGGAGAGATGCAGCCTTGCACCCCTGCAGTTTGCATTTGTTCCAGTAAGGACAACCTTATCAGTACAGTAAGAAGCTACTTACCGCCCTGCGTGTATGATCACTGAGACTAATACCAAGATGATTAGAGCAATCAAGCAGAGCTTCTTGGGGAGGGGATGAAAACTCTCTCCCTTCACTGGGGATTAAGAACAGATCAGATGCAAAAATGGAACAGCTGCACATACCACTCACTCAGCCTCCACCAACTACCAATGCAAGCAGATTACAAACCATCTTCTCACAGGCACAAGTTTCTCTCATCACTCCCAATCAGCACTACCTGGTCTTTTGCATACCCAGCAGCACAAGCCAATTTAAAAAGCTGTACCATCATTTAAGGAACAACCCTCCCCTCCCATTCCTACTTCGACCCAGAAATTACCAACACAGCTTTAGCAACCCACTACCACTTTGTAGCAAACAAATCTGCTCCTAACCTTCATTTGCTCACCTGAGCTGTGTCGGCCTTAATAAGGACCAGGTGGTCCTCAAGCTACCCTCTGACCCCAGAGGTCCCAGGCTTAGCCAGCAAGAGCTAGTTAGTCATAAGGGACAGCAGGCCCTTCTGCCCTTGAAGAAGTTAATCACTGCGACAAGGAGTTTGCTGCTGGACAGTGCTGGAGGAATGCAGTACAACTCTTACGGCATCCTCCACTGATCAGCAGCTAGTAACTAACATCAAATGATTTAGCCAAGCAGATTTCAAAACATTTTTCTTCCTAGCCAGCTTCAGCACATGCCACACCAAGTCAGCCTTGTGCTTCGGCACTGAGGGAGAAGCCATGGGTGATGCTCTCTGAGGTGCTCCGGCAGGCAGCATGCCGGCACATTGAAGCCACTGGCATGTCTCTCACCAGATGCTTTGTCGGTCACTACAGATATCACCAGTAAAAGTTACAGGCTTTGGAGCTGGGAAGTATGGGAAGGAAATCAAGTCCAGCATGTGCTTTGACATCCCTTAACACCAAACAGATCTGCAGGCTGTTTAGACTAGTATAAGCTGGTCATGCTGCTGAAACGAGAAGTTCTGCCCTCTCCCTGCCCCTTCATTTCTACCTCAAGCACTTGTGCAAGTACGAGATGAACCACACCAAGAAACTGCAAACAAACCCAGCATAACCAGATTATTCTTTAGCTGGATCTGCTCCCCATCCAAACAAAGGCTGGTGCCAGCACAAGGGAAGCAGAGAAATGGAGAGAAAAAGACTGCCCCTTTTGCACTTATGCTGAACTAAACATTGCAGAAGAGAGATGAAAGACCTTTTCAGCCTGCATCTTATTTGACAAGCACCTTTGCAAGACGGCCCTACTCAATGTACTTTCAACTCCGTGCACAGAATTTTTCCTTTCTACCCCACATAAAGAACAAGCACACACATCACTGACAACCAGGACCGCGACAACGCCAGCCTAACCATCTCACCCCAGCACACAGAGGGGTACGAATCAACGCCGACTTCAGCGGCCAGCTCGGCCAGCTCGGATTAATGCTGCTTGGTGGGAGGAGCGAATCAAGCTCAAAGTCTGCCAAAGCCGACAGCGTTAAAGACACTGTGATTGGTAATGCAGCGCAGCGGTGAGAAGCCTTGGAACATCAGCAGACAGCAACATTTTATTTGCTGTCTGGAGGAAAAAGACTTGGGTCAGGCAGAGCTGTTTGGAGCTGGTGCCGAGGAACTTACAAGACAAAGGCATCTGGAATCTTTCCGTGTACTGGAAATGAAACGTCTGAGTTTTAAATCCCTTACGACACTTCAGGAGCAAGGCTGTGTTTTAGGAAATGCCTGTGTTCCAAAGAGCTGAGCAGAACGTGCTTTAAACTGCACAAAGCGCCTCACTCGGTCCCTGAAGATCTCTTTTAATTGTTTGCCGCTTCTTCCTCCCCAAGATGAAACAATAATTTTCCTT